CGTACAGTTATTAATAAATAACTTGTTATTAATTATATTTCGAAATTTTTAGCACAACATTTTTAATTATTTAAGAAAATTGATTTGCAGTAAAGAGTAAAACAGCAATACAACAACAGCAATACCTATCAAGCGTGGAGTTAGGCAAGGATGCGTATTGAGCCCTATGCTCTTCAATATGTACTCCGAACTAATATTTCGAAATGCGCTTGAGGGATCAGAGGATGGCATAAAAGTGAATGGCAGGCTGATTAACAACATGAGATATGCTGATGATACCGTCGTTATTGAAAGACTTCTTGATAGACTGTCCTCGGTGGGCGACTCAATGGGTCTCAGGATAAATACAAACAAAACAAAAGTCATGGTGATAAATAGAGATGCAAGACAGGCAACGGAGGTAGTCGTAGGTGGGATACCAATAGCAAGAGTCTCAAAGTTTAGATATTTGGGCAGTTGGATTAGTGAAGACCTAAACCCAAACATTGAGATCAGAGCTCGAATTGAGATGGCTAGATCAAACTTCCTAAAATTGCGGAACCTACTATGCGATAAACGTCTCAACATCCATATAAAAGACAACTTCGTCAAGTGCTACGTACTTTCCACACTTCTCTACGGGGTTGAGTCGTGGACACTCAAAGTAAGCGCAATGAATAAGTTGGAAGCATTTGAGATGTGGGTATATCGCAGAATGCTGAGAATACCATGGACTGGCCGTGTCTCGAATGAACGAGTTCTAAACCGGAACAAGGACCGAGAACTCCTCGACATAATAAAAAAGAGGAAAGCAGCCTATTTGGGCCATATCATGAGACATAGCAAGTATGAATTCCTTCAGCTCATCATCGAGGGTAAAATTGAGGGAAAGCGCGGACCCGGACGACGGCAATGCTCCTGGCTGAAGAACATCAGAGATTGGACAGGCCTGGACTCACATACTTTGCTGAGAAGAGCGTAAAATAGAGAGGAATTTGCCATGGTTGTTGCCGATCTTCACTGAATGGAGAAGGCACTTTAAGAAGAAGAAGGAGTAAAATGACTTGCCAATAATAATAAGAAGTTATAATACACCTAGTTTGTTATAACTTCAAAAACTCACGTGTGTGTTATTATTTATTTTATATGCATGTTCTTAAAGTTTGATCCCTTCTAGCGGAGAAACGAAACACTTTTCTATAGAGGTAAATTGTGTCCAATGAACTTATTTTGACTGCAAACATACGTAGTAGTTCTATATCGACGGAATATTGGTACACCCTGTATTGTAAATATGCTACTACCTACCGAAGACGGATAAAGAGGTTCCATTAGAAAGATTATTTTTTCTTTTTTCATTTCCCGTTTTTATAGTATTATAAATTTTAATAGCTTTCAACAAACGACAAGGTAAATTCCATAATTACACTATAAACACAGCCTACATAGAAGATCATTATTTTATTTTTGCAGAATGCAGTAATAATCTGTGTGTAATTGCGTGCCGCTCCTCAATTAATGAACACTAAACTACTCGACGATTGAAATGAATCGAAAATGAATGTTTCATATATTCATTAGCGATGGGAACTATCGAATGAATTAGACTATCGAATGGTTACTGAATGAATGATTTCAACTATCGAATGGTTTCATTCGAATAAAATCATTCATTCATTTGTATACTAAAGCATATGTGACAACCTCGCCGTGCGACTAAATGGTTTTCGTTAAGCCACGACCATCGTACATAAAACTCTGAGTTTTATGTACGATGCCACGACTATCGAATGCTTTAGATAAATGAAATTTAGTATTCGTTTGATTTTTGTCTGCGTCAGTGCATTATTAGTTCTTCCAAATTTTTATAACTTGCCTTCTAAATACTGTGCTATTTCTGCGTTTGTTAAAATATTTAAAATACTAAAGTAGTAGTGTTTTTTTTTAAATTGACGATTGGTGGACGTGTGCAGGTGGTCAAAATTTTGCCGAAAATTTGTGTGATTTTCCGATCTTTCAATTATTTAATTTTATACGGTATATGGTCTATTTTTTTAATGGGAAATTTTGAGAAGTAACAATTTTTAAGAGAGATGAGGTGAACTTACAATTAATTTTAAAAATACATATGTATTTGTATTTGAGATGTTTTAGTAATATGAATTAGTTGAACTTAATAATCATATTTAAGTAATGTGGTAATGTGATTATATAAGTAAATGGTTATTGAACTCAAATTTTGGGATGAGAAAATTAAATTGATTGATTAAAGTTTTACACGTGCCAATTTAAAAAAAAAGTTAACGATATTTGTATTTTTTTATGCTAATTCTCTTACATGTAGATTTTTGCGAAGAAATATTTCATTTATTTTTTAAAGTAAATGCCAGTAAAACCAAATATTATTTTTATATACTAATACAAAGTAATAAAAAGTATATAATTTTGATTTCTAATTTTTTATTTATATTTTTCTTCTATTACACTGCATGCTTAGAAAATTAATAAATGTTTATATTCCATGGTTTTAAAATTTGTTGTTAATATAACAAATTAGTTCTGTAATTATTATTATTTAATAAACCAACGTTGCCAAAAAATTTAGAGACTATATTATTTTTAAATAGGATCTAATATAAATAATTTTGACTTCTAATTTGTTGTTTATATTTTGCTACTACTTAAAAAAATGTTTATATTACATGATTTTAAATTTTGGTGTTAATAAGTATAACAAATTATTACTGTTATTATTATTTATTAAACCAGTTTTGCTTAAAAACATTAAAAATAATTTTCCTACATCCAAAATAAAAAGTATTATTGCAGTGTAACAACAGAATATTAATAAAAAAAATGCAAAATATATAGTCATACCACAGGTCATATCCCTAACTAACTATAATACCAAAGAATAATATTCTTTGCTAATACCAACTAATACGAATATACGGCAACAGCGCCGTTCATAATGTATTTTCTGTGTAAATACTAGCACCTCAATAAAAAAAATAATGTGTCCTTATCTTTATCTGACTCAAAATCAAAGATGCCGGCTTTTTTCATACCATTGCCACCGACCGCCGACCGCTGTCGGGTTTCTAGAAAGAAACCTACGTCGCCGGGCGACAACTAAAATCCAGTTTATATTTTATTATAATCGATCCTGACGAATAAATGAATTTTACAAATGAATGAATTTTATAAATGAATGGTTTTTGCTGCCGAATTAATACATTTCAAGGCAGATGACGCATCTATTCGATATTTTTATTCGAATAGTTTTCGACGAATGTTTTCTTACTAGCTATCGAATTATTCGAATGAATTGCAACTATCGAATGTTTCGATAGTATTCATTCGATAGTTTCCACTACTAATATTCATATTTAATTCGTAGCTCATACTCGTAGTTTTATTAAGTTTTATTTAGTGTAAAGTTCTGTTACATCTTCATATATCTAGATTTGTTGCCGCAACCTTATGCTGGGAACTCTTCCTTTTGGGTCGGTATTTACATGTGTGTGGAAGTAACAGCACTTTCAGATGTTTTTTCAAGATAGCTCATCCGGACGGAGCATACGCGACTCATGTGAAATTGTTCATATAAGCTCATGGTATACTCTGTTTTTTTTCTCTGGTAAGATTTCGACAGACGATGACAGAAAAAAAGCAGATGACTTCCATACCAATCCATTTATTTCACTAAAAAAAATATCTGATATTTTTTAAGTTAACTATGGATGGATTTATAAATAAATACGTCATGCGTCGTCTCTTGTTTTTAACCAGTTTTATTGGTTTATTTCAAAAATGACAGATCATATCTCATCAGGTTATATTTACCTGTCATTTATTTTAAAAATGACAGGTAAATATTATTGGTTTGACGCAGCAATGAACGACAAACGGACGCCTACGCGTATGAACTCGACTTAAGATTTTTGAAAGTTGTCAATCTTTATTTTTATTATTGCTAAATTATAGGTTATAATTTTGTGCCAAATTATGTCAAATAGAAATGATAAATATTTTGCATTTTGCATTTTGGACTGTGTTGTTACTTGTGTTTCGTGTTTTTTTTTAAATTAAGTGGAGGAAAACTCGAGGGAAAATTAAGTGTTGACCCAGACCATAGTTTACAGTTAATATTCGGTGCACAGAGACCACCAGAGATACAGTTTACCAGAGACTATGGCCTGAGAGTTGTATTAGCCACAAATAAAGTTGTATACCATCTCATATATGATACCAAAAACTGGAGTATCTGTAAAATAACATCACACGATAAGTAAACAATACATTTTAGTACTGCAGAAAAAAATAAGATTAAAGTTAATTAACCAAGACTAGATTTTTTCAGTTTCATACAGTTTTTTTTCACAATATTTTGAAGTAATCATTTGTCACTCAAAATTTAAATATATTAATTATGCGTTCCAATTGTACCAACTTATTTCTACGTAAAATAAAATAAACTACTTTGAAATTAAAATGACAGACACATCTATCACTGTCAAGGATCTTGTCGTTGAACAGACTATACTTGCTCGAAGTCGCGGACGCTCCGTTCCATCTGAAAACGCTGTAAATCGCACAGGGATCTTATTGTCGGAGTGAGAGAAATGCGACTGTGTGCTGTTGCGGCGTTGCCGGTACGCCTTTCCCTATCAAGTAAAGTAAAATGACGATCGCAAACCGCTTATTTTTAAAATACTTTTTTCTCAAGAGATAACTAGATAAAATCATTAGACATGTTTCTGAGCATCTGAAATGGAATTATAAGGATATCGTTAGGGTGTCATTTTTTTATAACGAGAAAACGTCAGTAATCGCGATAATGTAAAACTCAACTTTTTAACACATAACAGGCCATAACTCAAGAACAAATTTAGATATTGAAACTTTTTTTATTTTCAAGATCGAAGAAGATGCCAGTTCTGGGTATTATATAAGTTGATATTATTATACCAGGTGCTTCACTACTCCTCTTCAAACAAAGTATTTCTACGGTTCCTTACCTGATGTTGCGCTAACGCTAAGGTTTAACGGGCCGTTAACCATATTGGAATTGTTGGTTGCCGATTGCAAACTCGCCATGGTTGACAGATTGGCAGCTAACGTCGCTACTTGTGGTAAGGTTTGTTGCAGCGATGCCAAGTTTTGGAGGTTTTGTAGTGTGACTAGACTTGCCACTGAAAATATAATAATTTTCAAAATATTGTCTATATATTAAATTAATAATAATTTTTAGCACAATCTTGGAATAATCCATACTCACTGGTTCCGTTCAACTGCTGCTGGGCCTGATTATGTTTAGGCGGCCCTGGTGACGTCATTTTATTCTCTACACTCGGACAGTCATCTTGACGCGTTTGGGGCGGCATGGGTGCTCTGGGAGGACCCAGGGATAAATCAGTGCAACCCCCTGCGTCCGTCGCGGGGGATGGGGAGTCTACACTTGAAGTTTCCGAACAATCACTTTCCTGAAACAAAAAAAAATAGTTTAATTTTCTTGTCTTTCTCTCTCTACCTATAATTGTTAATAATAGTTATTTTTTATACAAGACGATAAAATGGTAATTTATCGTCGGCCAAAAAGATTAATTCGCGAGCGATGAAATCGCGAGTGAATTAATTTCGGGAATTAATTTAAATATTGTGCTGGGCTAGCGTCGGTTTCTATGTAATTTGGCAAATAAATAAAGCTGTCTCTTTAGTTGTCAGTTTTGAGTCAATATTTTTTAATTCTCTTTCGTGTCGATTGCTGAGTGAATTGGAGTCAGAAATGGCTCAAAACGAAATAAATAAATTACCAACAGTTATTCAGGCTGAGGCAACAAACGCCATACCCAAACTACTTCCATTAAAATCCCGAATAACTTATGAAAAGAAATACAAAAATTTAAAAAAATAGAAACAATAATTAAAAAACGTGCGAGAAGAAAGATCAGGTGAAAACATACTTTTAGCATATTTTTCTGAAAGATCAAAGAAAATGCAGCCGTCCAGTTTATGGTCGTCAATGCTAAAAAGTACAATACTGGTCAATAAAAACACTGATATTTTAAGGTTTAAGGATAAGCTATACCGTTTAAATTTACGTAGTAGTATAGTAACATCTAAACTTTCTAGATATAGCAAGCTCATAGCTTTCTTGAAGCAGTCATGTAGCGGTTACAAACCGAAAAAGTAAAAAAATTTAAACCCAGGTATCGTGAAATTTCTTTGTACTGTTTTTTTGCATTTAATCTACCCTTGCGGTTAAAGTACTATTTTATCTACTATTTTTGATAGATATAAGGCAATTTTAACAGTTGCTATAGAAAAAAATTATTGAAATTTATGTTAAACAACTAGTTTATGTTTTTAAACTACAGTTGGTTTCAGCAGTACAACTTTTTTAATATTGATTTAGTTCTATGTAAAAATAAAAAATTGTATTATCACATCAGACTATTATCATTTAAAAAATTGTAAAAGGAATATATTTTGAATAATTCTATGTAAATAATCATCTAATCATAGTACGGGTGGCCTTAAAAATGATTATAATGATATATATTATAGTATATTATCAAAAAATTTCTTTATTAGTGACCGGTTTCAATTCCAGCCATCATCAGACCTCGTTTGACTTTGACAACGGTTGGTTGACTTTGACAACTTTCACAACGGACTTGTTTTGCGGAAAAAACCTCTTAGGGTGGCTGCAACGATCTCCCGTAATCCTGCTGTTAAACCAAAACAACTGGTTTTTATACATAAAAACCAGCTGTTATCTTTTAACAGCAGGATTACGGGACGTCGCGGTCGCAGCCACCCTTAATCGTGTTCTGGGATCAAAATATACTACCTCTAAACATATTTGAACTTATTTATCACCTTGTATAAAATTGAAATAAATTTATAAATTAATTCTAACAATTTTTTATTGTTTTTTTTTTCTAAAATATTTAAAAAATATATTTGAGCAAACTTAACCTCAAAACAAAATTATCTTCTACTCCCAAAACCGACACAACTTTCTGCCAATCCATTGTACTAATAAGATTCCCCCAATATCGAATCTGATTATATTTGTACTGGTATCCTCCTATAACCCGTGGGCATCTAGGGGAAACCACTAGAAAAGGGGGGGAAAGGGGGAGGCAGAAGCAGGCTGTGGGAGGCTTGAGTGGGGTAGGGGGGTGTCGTATAAAGGAAGCTCTCGGGTCTGAGGCGGTCATCTTAGAATGGCGAGTGGTCTGCAGCCTCTAATAGAACTCTATATGTAAGCTATTGATTAGAACGTCTCTCTTGCGCTAAATTAGAGCGGCATTAAGGGGTATTTAAGCCAGTGGCGTAGAGAGGGTTTTGGAAATAGTTTAGTATATAATATGAAACACTAACTTTGAGATCGTATTAATACCAAATCACATTAAAGTAGATTTTTTCTTTAAAGATGACTAATAACAACTGTATGTTAATCAGTAAGATTTTTTCTTCGTATAAATAACTGAGTAATTAGCAAACATGTTTTGAATAATGTATAATTTTATTTAATTTTTATTTTTAAGATTAAATTCACAATTTTGTGCACAACATCATATAGTAAAGTTATTTTAATAGGTATACAGGGTATCCCAGCCTGAGCGTGCATTAGAAGTTTCTAGAGAACTACAATATCTAGATCGCAAATTTTTTGCACATCAGTGTTTCACTATAAGAGATCTATCGATTAAAAATATTTTCAATATGGCGGCACTTCCAAAAATCCCGGAAGTCGACAGCAACTTTCTTATTTTAAATGGGTGCCCCCATTTTTTATTACATACTTAAATTCCCTGGAGAATTTTATGAATTTTGATATTAAAGACTCTATATCTAACATTAACCGGTAAAAAAATTTCGGACGAAATAAAATGCCTGTCAAAAAAAATGTATACAGTTTAAACGTCAACTTTAGTAATTACCACAGCTACTTTGCCATAATGAGAAGAAATGTGGCTACTTATTTCAGAAACGAAAAGCCACGTTCACATCAAATAATCAAATCAAATAATAGTCGGCCGATAGGCTCCAGTATGTATTGTTTTCACTTATACAACTAAATAATCGGTCGACTAAAAATTGCATGTCACACCCATGGAACAAGCACAACAGATCGCAGTGTTTCCGGTATAGGACAAAATAGGTAAAGGAAGGGAAAATCTACATATTCAAGTTAGTATTGGTACAGAGGCAAGCGATTTAAGTGACAGAATATTAAAAAAAAAATAAACTTTTGGAAAGATAAGCACGACCCTTATAATTTTTGCTTTGGCAATTTTTTACTATACAAAAATTCCTCTCCACCAATGGAAATGCATTTCACTCGCTCGGACCGTCCATTCTCCCACCATTTCCCCCCTCTTCACCGTTATCACGTGATCCCCCATCGCGTTTATCCATCAGGAATCTTCCCGAACCGCTTGAAAGCGTAATATGCATAATCTCCCCCCCGGTGCCCCCTCGCTACACCCGCCACTCGTCCATCCTATGGCTATGGCGTCGAATATTAGCGCTTAGGATCTATCTCTATGCCGCGTGGCCAAATAATACAAATTCATGCATAATTCAGGTCATCTTCGGACTAGGGATCCTCGCCAGTCACGGATGTGCTGCTGCTGGGGCGAAAATGGCCGACGTCCTTCTTATTCGCGATCGTGTTACTTCGTGAGGATGAAGGTGGAGAAGGAGAGGAATTTGAAGAAGGTCTGGATGTCGTGGAAGAGTTCGAATTAAATTCTTTGGGATGTTTGGTGTGGATGTCGTATATTAAAGGTCTTTTGAAATTGTTCAAAAAATTATTTTAAATAACAGTATCCTTTTTTCATTTTGTCCTTTACTTCTATGTGAAACATAGAAGGCTTCGGTAAATGCTCTCCAGTGGGTTCTGTTGTTTGAAACTGTATATGTAAACGTAAATGTATATTATTTTACTCTTACTAGTAGTTTTATACGGGTGTGGACGAAAATTTATTACTCTTCAAAACTGTTGAAACACATATATGAGTCATATTGCCATCAAAATCAAGTTTCTCATGTCAAAAAACTCCAAGACACCAATTTTCATCCAAATATTGGCGTTCCTTCAGAAATTATTTAGAAAAAATCGAAATAAAAATGAAACTTCTACACCCTGTATCCCCGAAACTAAGCATTTTAGGACATACATTTATACGAACTTTTTTACTTATTTTTATTTGAAGAATACGCTGCCGAAGTTTTCGGAATACAGTTCGGAAAACCATGTATACTATACAGGGTGAGTTTTCTACGATGTTCTCTATGGGTATCTTGGAAACTACTGGACATAGAGAGTCGGTTAAATGGGAAAAGAAATGCAGTTTTTTGGGGTCGTAAATATGCGCCTTTCAGATTTTTGAAAAAGTTCATGGCTAACTAGATATTTCGAAAAAAACAAATTTTGGCTATTTTAAAAATTATCCCTAATTCCATTATAATCTACTTTAGACAAAAAGTTTTCAGATAAAAGTTGTAGATAATCACATCCCTAATAAGTTGGTGTCCTCCGATTTTTTCCAAAGCCTGTCATTTTTAACATGTGACACAAACATATGCTTTTTAAACGGAAACCATAGTTGGCCATTAATTATTTTAAGCGATATAAGCTATACATAATAGGTTTTTTTTTCACAAAATTACTGAGTTCCGGCCAATTCTTATCTTTCTTAACTAATTTCACTTAGTTAGCCATAGAAACAAGTTAAATCGTCGTTTCTCTCAGAAATGTGAAACTGTCACATCCAAACTTTGTAAATTAAAATAAACAAAAATGGTAAATATGAATTTTTCAAATGAAGATTTCGGAAAGATCGGTTCAACTTTTCTTGGTCATACAGTTTCGAGGATACGTTGACGGGTGAACGTTACTTACGTTTTTTAGAGAACGGTTTTAAAGACATGTTAGAAAAGTTAAATTTAGATACTCGCGCATTAATAGAGTGGTTCCAACATGACTTTCATTATGACACACCAGCCCCACCCCCACAATGAAAGAAATGTTAAAACTTATTTATATCATAATTATATAGACTCAGGGATAGAAAGAGGTGGACTTTGCATGGGCTTCTTCGATTGCCTGACTTATCCATTTTAGATTATGCGGTATTTACAACAAGGTTTACAAAAGAACTTTCGAATTAACAGAGGCACTCGAAGAGGCGGTACAGGAGAAGTTTGATTAAGCCGACCGGTCGTTCTGTGAGAAAGTCACCCTGTAGAACAGTTATAATTCTTAACATACGATGGATAGTTTCTCAGTTCGTAGACTACTTAGTTTTTTACTCACCAACAAAAGAAATGAAACAGAAAGAAATTACCTAGACAATGTAGCTGAGTGTAAAAAATAAGTCAAAGGCTTATTAAAAGTGTCACTTTAAGCGTCAAAATTCGAAAAACAAAGTTTTAACTAGGTAGTTATTAAGTAAAATAAATCGAC